CCCAGCGCGTGCGCGCCGAGCGTCCTCGGCCGGGCAAGGGTGAGGCACCTCTGAAGACACACCGCTGTTGCGGACGGCCCGGAGGCGAGCCCCGGGGTCGCACAGGTCTGGGTCTGAGGGCCCGCTCGGCCACACGTTACCCCTGTGACCCGGGCCAGGCCTCCCCCTCTGCCGCTCGATTCGGCCAGGAAGGCCCCTCACCGAAGTAGAAGCAGGTCTCGGGGCTCTTCTTCTGGAAGAACCGGCCGCATGCCCGGGCGTGCACGTCCGCCCCGTTCTCCACCAGCAGCCTCACGCACGGCAGGCTCCTCTTCTCGATGGCGATGTGCAGGGCGCTGTGGCCTCGGTAGTACTCGTCCGTGCACTGGGCGTTGACCAGAGGCCGCGGGTTGCCGGAGTCCCGGTCGATCTGCAGCAGCGGCTGGATGCAGGCGTTGGCGCCGCCCCGGAGGTTCAGCACGGCCTTCATCAGGCAAGTCTTCCCCGTGGAGCCCTCTGTGAGAGGAGGGAGGGCAAGGGGCACTGCGCCACCGGCCTTAACAGTCAGCCCAGTTCCAAAGCTCCCCTCGGCTGGTGGGACCCTAGCCATGCTGCAGGGTCTTATGGCCAACAGGTATTCAAATACCAACGGGTATGACTACCGTGTCTGCTCTAGAAATTAAGTTTCTAAGACAGAATTCATCAGGTGTGCGACGTTGTCTAGACAAAAACACTTGGAACAGTATTTGCTAAGTGGCCCTACCACCAAATGGCTGTCTCCTCCTGGCAAATCACTTGCCCCTCTCTCTCTCTTTTCTTTTTGTTTTTAATTAAAAACAAATTGTTTAATGGAGGTACTAGGGATTAAACCCAGGACTTTGTACATGCTAAGCTTGTGCTCCAACACTGAGCTATTACCCTCCCCCTTTTAAAATAATTTTTTTAAACTTGGCCTCTCTTAACCTCAGTTCGCCTCACTGTAAAATGGGACTATCCCAGGGTGCTTGTAAAGATCCCATGGAATTATATACACAATTCTTAGCACACAGAGGGCCTGGCACACCGTGTTGAGGCCAAAAACTACAAACAACCCAAATGGCCATCAATAAGGAGTTAGTTAACTAAATTTTGGTAAATGGACACAATGGGAAACTCTGCAAGTTGTTCAAGTGATGAGTGGGAGGCCCATGTACTGAAATGGAGCGTGTTCCAAGATGTAGTAATGGAGGGGAGCACATTACAAAACAGTGCACAGGACACAACGCCATTTCTGTAAACAGACACCTCATGTATTTCAACAGTTTGAAAAGAGGTACCCCAAACCATTATCAAGGACCAGGATGATGGACTGTTTTCACCTTGAACTTTATGCATTTCATTACTATTTAAATCTTCTAGTATTCACAAATGTTATTTTTCTAATCAGCCCAAACAATAAAGAGATTTAGATTTTGGGCAAAGGGTGCTCTGAGACGGACGAAGTGTATGATAGTGTAGAACACACTACGTGGAATATAGGATATTCTGTGTTCTATAGAATATCTCAGCAATACTGTTATTGGGGGAAAAAAAAAGCGAGAGTGAGAGAGAGGGGATGTGTTGAGGAAGGCCCTGAATATCCAATATCCTGAAGTGGGCAAGGCCGGCCGGGAGCCAGTGAGATGTGCAGAGGAGGGAGTGGCCGTCCTCTCTGCTGGCAGGGCCCCTGCAGGCCTTCGGGGGGCAGGAGGGCTGCTAGGAACGCTACCCGGCCCCCCACCGCCCCCAGATCCTGATCATGGTCAGACCCACCCAGGCAGCTGGTCTCAGGCCAGCCGCCAGGGGACAGCCGGCAGGGGCTCTGGCCCACGCAGCAGGCCTACCTGTGTACTCTGAGTCCGTGAGGTACTTGCTGGTCTGGCGCAGGTACTCTGGTAGCCCAGCCAGCTCCTCGGGGAACCCCCGAGCCACCACGCTGAAGAGCCGGTCACGGTCAAAGCGGCTGGGGTCAGGCTGGCTATGGGGAGGTGGTTAGCGACAGGAGAGCCCTGGACCCCCAGGGAGCCCCCTCCCCAGAGGGCCCCTTCAGGGGTCCCTGTGAGCACCGTGCGCCCCCTGGGCCCCAGAGCCCCGTGGGAGGCTTCTGAGGGCCTCTGCCCTCCCAGGCAGACCAAGGAGACACCGAATGCTCAGAGTCCCCGGAGGAAGGGGCCTGTCCGGCGCCCCCAGGCGTCACCGCTGTCCCCAGCACCGGTGCCTAGCGCGCACCGGGTTCCCTGATGATCTCGCATCAGGCCGCGGTCCCCTGGGGTCGCTCAGCACGGGAACTCGTCCTGGCTCCTGAGCTGGGGTTGGGGGCAGGGCGGGCTGCAGGGGGTGCTCACGGACTGTTGAGGGGACTTGGCCGCTGGCCTCCACCGGGGAATCAAGAAAAGCCCCTGGCTCGCCCTCTCAGAAACCATCTCTGGATGAAGAGTGGACTGTCTGTCCATTTCATCCTCACTTCTGCCCTGGGTTAGGAATCTGTTTCTCCATCAGATAAACTAGGAGATAGTGTAACTTTCCCAAAGTCACATGGTGCAGAACTCAGGGTGGCTGTTCAGCTGACCCCAGACCCTGACTCCTAGCTCCAGAGAGACTCCAGACTGGGCAGCCAGACGTTCCTCAGAGCAACGGGGCCCAGCACGGAAACCAGATGCTCACAGAATTTTACTGAGAAGCCACACTTCCGGGAGAGGCCCGGGAGGGGCTTGTAGCTGGTCTCAACCTGGCAGTGTCTGTGACAGGGAGGGGGAGGAGCATGGGGCACCCCTCCTCGTCGTCACTACCCACGGAGGCCAGGTCCCCCCTGGGGCTCCTGGCACCAACTGACATAAAGGGACAAACAAAGGGGGACCCTCAGGTCTGCCATGGAACGGATCCACCAAGGAAGGGAAGGGGATGATGAGCAGGGAGACTGGGTCAGTGATGTTTAAGCCATGATCGTGTGACTGACAGATGAGGAAGCTGTAAGTCTGCCCGGCCTGGCCAGACACACCGTCATCGCCCCGCAGCCCACGTGACCACAGCATGCCCAAGAGGGCTCTGCGCTGACTCGGGAGCCCTGCGGGCAGTCCGGCGGCGGGAAGTGGCTATTTGGACAAAGCGCTTCCTGTCACAGGGTGGGCCTGGGATAGGGAAGCCTAACAGGGGCACAGATTGAAGCACCAAAGGGGCCTGTTCTGCCTTGGGCAGGCGACCCAGCTCCCAGAAGCCTCGAAAGCATCCTCTCCTGCCCTGGTCTGACTCTGACCTCAGTCCTCCAGCACGAACACAACAGGGGGATCTGGGCTGGGAGCCCAAGGCTAGGGGCCAAGCCCCAGGCATGAGGAGGGAGGGAGGGAGGGGCTTCCCTGGCAGAATCCAGCCTCGTATGGGGTGTTGGGGGCAGATGCCAGGGCTGGACGTGACACTCCTGGTGAGAGTGGGCTCCCACAGTCTGACTTAGTAGACATCACAGGAAAGTTGAAGTGAAGACAGCTCCACGCAGAAGCCCATGGTCTTCAGTTCCCAGAGTCCATGTCCCCTGGGCAGTGTGTTCAGCCTTGGAGCCGAGCCCGGGAGCACCCAGGACATTTCCAGATGTCCTTACTCTCTTGGGTTGGAATGTGGATCTTGCTACCACCCACCAAGGGACTGTAACTTGGGGAGGCGGTGGGGGCACAAATGAGGACACGCCAGGGTCAGCTGAGTACTTGGAGCTACCTAGAGGAACACAACCCCAGAAAACAGAAGACCAAGAACGGGGAAGGTTCTAGAAAAAGTAACCCCAGAGAGCAGAGCAGAGTTCAGCCCGTGGGGCCCAGGAACCATCAGAGCCAGACCCAGGACTCTGCAGGCTGCAGGGAAGGGGCACTGGGGCCGGGCTGGAGGAGTCCCTGGCTCCCCCCACCAACTGCTGCCTCACCTGGCACTTGCCCCCTTTCTGAAGTTGAGGTTCACTTTGATCTGAGGGGAGTAGTTCCGGTCCTCTCCCTGGAACGGTGACTCCATGGGGGGTGGCCCCGCCCCACCGCCCAGCTGTCCTTTGTCCACCTGAGCCCCATCTTCTTGGCCTCCATCTGAAGTCTCGAGTCTGAAAGTGGGAGGGCTGGAGGGCGAGGTCATCCTAGGGGAGGAGGCTGCTCCTTCCTGGCTGGAAACTCTGTGGGGACAGAGATGTCAGAGGCACCTCTGTACCCTAGCTGGAGTCTGACCAGAGAGGTCTAGGAGCCGGGTACAAGTAGGACCCCCCCACCGTGGGAGCTCACCCACCAGGAGGGGAGAGGGGGAGCCAGAGGTGGGAGGCCCATGTCGGAGGAACAGGGACCGTAACTGTCCCTAACAGTCCCTCTGGGACTTCCTGATCTCTGCTAGGCCACAGCTGCTGGTCTGAAACATTTGTGTTAACAGCACAACCCTTTCTCTACACAACATCTTGCCCAGTGGCCAATATTCACATCAGATAAAAACGCAGTGTCACGTGGGGGCAGGACACTGGACCTTACACCACCTAGGGGGAGTGCTCTGGGGGAAACGTAGGAAAACCATTGGTTTTCCAAAGCCCCTGTTTTGCTGCAGGCACTACTAGGGCTCAGAAAGGGGAAGTGACTTTCCCGAAGTCCCAAGCCGTGGGCAGAGCCTGGTCTAAAACCAGCTACCAGGATGTTCCTCTTCAGTTGTCAAAATCTTGCAGGGCTCATCTATATTTTCAGTCATGGAATGCCCCCTCTCTGGCCCATAGGATCTCTAGGGGCTTCAGAGCCGCAGGGAGACCCCTCGCCATGCCCAGACTTCCCCTGACCAGCACCCCACCGGCCAGCTCTGGGAGCTCAGCTCACAGCACCATCTCACCCTCACAGGAGAGCAGAAACCACAGCAGCCGCCATCACATGGCCAGGGCGGCGCCCCAGTGTCGGGAGGGGAAGCCCCTGGACTCCCCCAGGGGGTAGGCAGCTAAGAGGAAAGAATCCAAGATAGGTGGGGGGGGGGCAGACAGAGGGGTGGGAGAAGGGGGCAGGGAGCAGAGCAGACCCTGGGGGTGGGAAGAGGGGGTGGGAGTGGCAGGGTGAGGTGGTGGCCAGGCCTGGGCCCTCTTCCTGCAGCTGCAGCTCGGGGACCGGGTGGGGCAACTTCCCACAGAAGCAGGGGAGGCCGGAGCCTGCCGACTGCCTCATCATGCCGTTTTGACCCAGCATCTTTCTGCCTACTCCGGGGCGTCCTTCCCGGGTCACACGCCAGTGAGCTTGGCTGATGTCCCCAGCCGCTCCCCATCCTGCCTCCCAGCCCACCGCTTCCAAGCCCTGGCTGCAACAGCTGTCTGCCCAGACCCTGCCCCCTCCTGGGCCCCTGTCTCTCATGGCCCGGGAGGAAGGGTGGGGCGGCCCAGGTGCAGGGAGCCTTCAGCGTCAGGCTTGAAGACCCGGCCCGCTCGGACGCCCTCATCGCCCCTGACTCACCGGCTCCGCGGAGGCAGCGCGCGGCGCGTCCCGGGCGGCAGGGGCTGCGGCGGAAGTGCGGCCGGGCGGGGCGCGGGCAGGCTCGGAGCTCCCCGAGCGAGCAGGGTCCCTCGGGGTTCTGCACGCTCAGCCCACCCGGCCTGGCCGCCGCAGGATCAGCTCTCCCGCGGCAGGACCCGCTGGCCGCGAGACTGACCATCCGAACATCGGGCCACACCCTCTCTGGGGAGGCACGCCCCGCCCCCACCCCCACTGACTGTCACCGAGGCCCCTGCTAGGGGGGCAATCAGAGGCACCCCTCGGGGGCGGGGCCCTGACCCGAGGGGAGCTAGCGTGGCGTGGCGGGTGGAGAGGGGACTCTTCCCACTGCACTGACATCCACCCCTCCCCTTCCCCTCCACTTGCCTCCCAGCGGCCATGTGGCTCAGACTAGGAGCTGGTTGACCCGTCACGGGGCCGGGAGAGCTGATTGGATGTCCGCGGGAGAGGAGAGACTTGGTACCTGCCCCTGGAAATGAACCCCACCCGCCGACCTCCTGGGGCCGCCCCCTAGCCCCCCAGTCAGGGGCCCTGACGGCCCAGGCTTTCCCTGAGCTAAAGGCACTTCCAGCACCAGCCAGCAGGGGCCGACAGGGAGGCGGGCTCGTGCTTCTGAAATTGGTCCTCCCTCCCCTGCCCTGAGTTCAGACTCAGCGTTTGGGACCTGGGGACACAGTCACCAACCAAGTAGTCCTAGGACGTCTCCCTCTCTCTCACTCCTAAAATCCAGCCCATCAGGAGCCCCACCCCCACCTCCAAACCTACCAATTTGTCTCTATCCCTGCCTGGTCCAAGCCACTGTCATCTCTGCCCAGGGGAGACCACAGCTACCTCCAAGCTAGTCTCCCTGCTTCACTCTGGCTGCCCCCGCCCCAGTCCATTCTCTTCACGGCAACAAGAGTGATCTTTCAAAAATGAAAACCAGATCACCTCATTAACCCCTGCCTCCGACCAGTGACTTTCTTGGCATTTAGAATAAAATGCAAACTGTGTATCAGCCCCGCGGGGCCTGGATGCCCTTCTCCATCCTCCATTTTCATCTCTCACTGCAACCTTGTCATGCCCACTACACTGCAGACCTGTGCTGTCCAATATAAGGTCATTGGCCACAGTGGCTATTTAAATTTAAATCGATTATAATAAAAATAAACATTCAGTTCTACAGTCACATTTGCCACATTTCAAATGCTCATAGTCACATGTGGTTAGTGGCTACCACATTGGACCACACAGATATAGAACTTTTCCATCATAGCAGAGAATACTATTGGACAGCCCAGCACTAGACGTTCTGAACACATTTCAATCTCCGACATTGCATGTTCTCTTCCATTGCCTCCAAGCCTTTGCACAAGCTGTTGCATCTATCAGGAACACACACACACACACACACACACACACTGTCCTTGCTTTAGCCAATTCCTACCCATCCATCACCTCTCTGTTTCAGGGGTTTTTTTGGGGGGGGGTAATTAGGTTTATTTATTTTTAGAGGAGGTAC